GACTTTAGAAGTTTTTGAATCAGACATTCCTTTTAGTCAACTAACAGCCAGAATGCAGTAAAAAATCCAACAATGAATTAGCAGAAAGAAAAGGATTGGAATTCAAGTTTTCAGACTCCCCATTCAATGTTCCTTTTGGGTGAAATATTCCTTTCTATTGTTTTTCATGCCAGCCCAATGCCTCAAATCATGCCTGGAATGTAATAAGTACTCCGCAAATTTATCTGTTGACTGGGAACTGGCTTAAATTTTATCACTGAAATATGCTAGATGCTAGGACACAAAGTTAATAAAACCTGGTCCTTGATTTTAAGGAGTCTGGTGTCCAGTGGGAAAACAAAGTACACATTTAAAAAGGAATAAACTGATTACTATGATTATGGTAACACTGGTGAATGCTCTTCCATTCTATATGGAAGAATCAGAGAGGCTTCCTGGAGGTGGCAACAGTTCATGGATGCTTGGCGCCATCAGTAGGAGTTTGCCATGCAGCCAGATTCTAATTCATCTTTGTCTCTGATTGTTTCACGAGGATCTTTGCCTTATGGTTTCTCTTTATCTTCTCACTTACAGTGTGCCAATTATTTTTAATATATTTGATACTATCTTACTTACATGTTTAAATTTTTATTCTTATCTCGAGGTTTAAAAATTTGCCAGAATGTGAGGCTATGTGCCAAAAGGAAGTAAAAATTAATCTATGCCTTCAGGACCAAACAAAAACGTTATACAAAAACCCATGCAGTATCCACAAATGTGACAGATGGAAGTATTTCCTGTTTAAGCTAGAATAGTTTTAAGACTTTCTTCCCAGTAAAGACATTTTAAATTTTTAGAAAAAGATTTCTAATCTATATCTTTATCAGAATTGAAATAGAAATGCCTATGGGTGACTAATAGTTCGATTATATTAAAGCTTAAAAAATTAGAATAGAAATATTTTTTAATGTGTAGCAAAATGGTTTTGCATATGGATACTGGAATCAAAGAGACAGGGGTCACATTTTTGCTTCATCACTTGATCGCCACACAGCCCTGGCCAAGTTGTTTTAAACTCTTCATATCTTAGACTCTCCACCTGTAATATGGCAAAACCTTCTTTAATAGACATTATATAGTACTGCAGAAGACTTAGGGCATTTTGAATCCCTATACACTACTTATTAGCCACTGTTAAAGCACAAAATTCAATAGAGTAAATTTGAAGCTCTAATTGGTTTATTAAGTGATTCATAAATTGGGCAGCATCCTATCTACAACTAGAAAGGAACTCTGAGGAGTTGTACAGTATGGAAGGTTTTTATAGGAAGAAAAGTGAGGCAAGAGAGCTATTAGCCAAAGAAAGGATTATTTTTAGGTCAAAATCACTTTTGAAGAGGAAGGGAAAAGCGAGGGGGTTTATCATGCAGATTGCCTCTTCTATGGAGGGGATGGGTAGGGCCCACGTGACAGATTACCTCACTAGCGGTTACCTGAAAAGTCTAGACTGACTGATGAAGATTACACTTCTGGTGAAGGTCAAAACTGAAATGAGATTATAGGCTTTTAACACATGTGACTCCATTTTGGGTCTGTGGTTTTCTCCTTAACAATACACTTGAACAATTGACTCAACCTCTTGGAGCTTCAGTTCCCTCTTCTGTAAACAAGGACAGTAACAGTACCTATGGGGTTGCTGTAAAGCAAAGGAAATAATGAATGCAGATCACAGCTCAGTGTCTGGGAACGAACATCTACATTAGTAATGTCAGATGTGTCTGATTTTAAGGTCTTTTTAAGGATAAAATAAAGTAATATATATATAAAATATTCACTACAGTGTTGATTATATTAATTTCTCAATAAACAATAGCTATTATTATTAACTCTTTATTGCTTGGTGTTATTAACTCCTTCATTGCTCGGCTAGGCAAACCAAAAATATATTTTAATATATTAAGTTAAATAATTAATGATGGCTCACTGACTATGGAAAGAAAATTATGACTGCAAGTTTGTACTGAGATTTGGAGTCCAAAACTATTGAGTGGAGTCTGTGTATTTTAGTGGTAAAACATTAATAATTTGGTAGTTGCAAAGAAGACTTGAGTTTATAAAAGAGACAGGTGGGAAATACATTATAGAAGAATAAATCATAACTTTCTTTTTCTGTTTAATTCATTCCATATCTTCAGATTTGGAGATTTGTGAGAAAAATAATAGCAATAATAAAAACAAGGTAGGAAAACCCAAACCAGTTCGTCTGATGTTTTTACTTCTCTTAATGATGCCACTAAATCAATTGCTTGAGTAATCTAATTGATTACACCATTATGTTTTCATTGGGGCACTTGGCCATAAAACACTGAAAACAAAGAGGAATATGAGGCTTGGAAATATAGCGACTAGAGAAGAAGCCATAAAGTGATATAAAGTGAAAATGTGCAAAATATTAAGTTTATGACAAGAAATTTAAGCTATGATTTTATGTACATTCTGAAGGTCTTTGTTAGTCTGCTTTGGAAAAAACAGTTTCTTAATATTCAGTATAGTTTTACATTCACATGAATGCTGGAACTAAAGAGACATACAGAAATTTTTGATAATTAGCAGAATGATAGTCAAATCATTATACATAAAATATGCTTTATGATCAAGTATATCCTAAGCATGTGGAAAATGCTAGGAGCAGAGAATGCACTTGGAAATCTATACCATATATGTCCTTTTTTACTAACCTTCTAAACCTGCCAGCTTGACAAACTGTAAAATATGGGCCTAAACCAATTATGAGCTGTGTAACAATGACAAGGAACAACTGCTCTCCAAGGACTAAAAACCATGAAGCCCACAAAACACAAAAGTCTTCAGGAGGCCAAATAACAGACCCATAATGAGCTGTTAGAAAAAAATCCTGCTGAGACCCAGTGGGAGACATTTTTTGCAGGAACAGAAGAAATTAGAAGCCCATTTCCCCCTAAAGTAGAAATATGCTTCCTGCCCTATACCCTAATTCTTCAATTCTGAACAAGCTCTTTCAATGACTATCAAACTCCCTGTTCACTGTATTTCCTGGTAGGATGTTGACTTGAAATTGGTGTAAAGAAGCTACCCTTAAAGAAGTCAAATATTTACTAAAATGCAGGCGATTAATTGATATATTCCTAGATAAAAAGCTAAAACATTTAAAGTCACAAATTGGACTTTTTATAGCGATCTCTCCTCTGCAGGAGAACATATATGGGGACTTCACTTAGAGGTATGGTGACCATGTTCATGGAGATAACACTAGAAAGTGAGACTCTATGTAAGCCAATCAGTTTTGCATGTTACCCAGCCTTGCCAATACTGTTAAGGATGCAAAAGGTCTTACTCTCTTCTCTACTGCAAATAAGAAACCGTCACTCACCAGAGAAAAACACCATATAAATTAGCAATGAACTGTGTCATCTTTTAATCCACAGTCACACACTATAAATCAAATTTCTTATAAAGTTTTCCAACTGATGGTGGCTCCTGAATATAATGGGAGCACCTACTGATTCATCACTGAAGAAGTACCAATTAATGCCTGCTTTATTTAGAGTTTTTAATCAGAAATCCAAAAGAAAAAATTAATTGACTCAGAGCGGAGCTGGTAAGGAACACAGAGGAAGTGAAGAAAAAAAGCAGGTAAAAGTCAGATATGTTCTGTTGACAAATAGAAGAGAAGAAGAAGCAGAGGAAGAGAAGAAGAAACGGACTAGGGCGAAAATTATAGAAATTATTGCAAACATTAGCCATCTGAAATGATGAACAATTACATATTTTCTTATAGGTCTTTACTTCTTTCCAGCGCCTCTTAAAAAAAAAAAATTATATAAGGACAGGAATTGTTTCTTGGGATTGCTGGGATTACTGAATCATCTACCAAATCCTGACTCACAATAGCTAAAAGGAAAAAATTGAGAAGAATGCATAAAATATCAGGAATATAAGAAAGACTGGAAAGAATGCTTAGCAGTATAAATGATTTCAAGGGAGACCTAACCTAACAGCAACAGAGAATAAAACTATGTCTCCAAAACACCATACGTGCATGTTGCCTCTTTCTACTAGAGAAGGGTATTTTTGGATTATGCCTGAGATATTTTTAGTTTTTAATAACTGTTATACTTTATAATGGTTTGCTTCACTGGTAATTTCCTGCACAAGATGGTGAGCCAAGAGAAAAATGGACCAAAGACATTAATATCAATTCATAGAAGAAAAAATACAAATGTCCATTTAACAAATGAAAACAGTAAGCAAAGAAATTCAAACTAAAGCAATTTCAAAACTTAAGATATAACTTCACTAATAGACAAAAATGAAAAGAAAAGAATGATTGGTTATGCCCATTACTGGTAAGGTGTGAGGAAATAAACTCTAATAAGTTATCAGTGAGAGGACAAATTGGCACTTTTTTGAGATTTATTTGGGAATGACTTTCAAAAGTTTAAATGCCCATCTTCTCCACACCCTGACCCCATTTCATCTCTGTGAATACAGCCTTTAGAAAGATTTGTAGACCTATCCATAAAAGTATGCATTCAGTGCTAATAGTAATGGGAACAGTTTGGATGTCCATCAATAGAAAGTTGGCTAACTCGATTATGCTGCATCCCTATAATGGAATATTATAAGATATTTAAAAGGAGTAATACATGCCAATAACAAAAAATGGCCACATTATATTTGGAGATTTTAGAAGAGAAGTAAACAGTAGGATCCTGTTTATGTCGAACATACAGAATGCATGTTTAGATATGTACTGACGGGGTGTGGAAGACACCACTACCCTTAACAGGGCTTCTGCTTAGAGAGAGAGGCTATGGGTGAGAGGCAGCAGAATGCTCACTTTATATGTAACCGTACTATTCATCTTTTTGCCAGAAGTATGCACGGCTCTTACTTCATTTCCACTTTGGAACTCTTAATTAAATACAAAGCAAACAAAAAGGATGCTGAAGTTTGGAAAACAGAATAAAAAGTAGACCAACCTGATACACATTTGGGTAATTAGGTGGGCTTGCTCATGGTAAAAACATGTGTCATGTTTTCAGGCAAAAATGCAGAACTAGAGAAAAAAGAAAATGACTAAAATCACTACTAACTAGATTAAATCACAAATTCAGAAAAGAAGCACTTACTTATGAGACATCATAATCTTGAGCACAGAAAATAATTCTACCCACCTGGGCAACACATGCATTTATTGGGTACAAAGTAAGTTACAGGATGAATTAAGAATTTGTATCTGCCTTTAAGAAATTTATATCTAGAATATGCTCAAGAATAATGCTGTGCATTTCATTGTAAAGCAAATCCTTTGTCAGAATCACCAAATTTTATCTGTGCTGGGTCATCCTGACTTACACAGCTCCCTTCTGGCCTTCAAAGAGAGTGTGGCTTTCTTAAGAGAAAGCTCAGTTCTCACCAATGACCTTCAGTTACTCTCACCTTACAACTTTGATTCACTTAGGGAAACAGGCTTCTTTTTGAGAATATCCTGCAACTTCGGAATTATCATTTTCATAAAGCATGCAGCCGCAGAGGCTAGACATCTTCAGATTCATTATGAGAGGGAAACTGGACTGGGGCTCCAGAAAGAGTTCTTACACTTAACTTGCACATTTATCTCCTCATAAGGATGAAGAAGCAAGACTGAATTTTATTTGATTTTCAAGCTCCAAAATTAAATCTCTGTTCTGCTTCCTGCATTTACCCTGTGTCATCTTTTGTGTGCAGCACAGCTCTGTGTCTACAGAGACCCAAGAGTCATCCCAGTGGGTGAGGGTCTGTTGGGTAAGGCCTTTGGTGGGAGTGGGTGGGATGGTGGGAAGGAGACAGTCCTTGCTCCCTTGCACTTAAGAATACCCCATGTTTTCCTTTCCCTGCTTAATCTAAACCTAAAGAAAGGATATTTACATTGAACTTTTCTTTAAGGCATTAACATCCCTGGGGTTTATTTAAGACACGTTTATGCCAAGGTTGAACTGCACTAAAACTTCACATGACTTCAATCTGAATTTTAAAAATGCCTTCGAGCTTCATTTTTTGAAAATCAAAATCAGGTACCAGTAGGGTTATAACAATGAGTTTTGATATGTGTGTGCTTTTAAAACAAAAACTTAGCATTTGTTTACCTTTTTGATCTCCAATGATATCAGACCTGCAGACAAACATAACTTACTATAATACTCTAAGCATTTTTTTAGATTTGCTGTAGTTATATACTAAATCACAGATCTTACTTGTACTCTTTGGACATTAATCAACTATTTATTGGCTTATTCACATATTGACTCATTAAATCCTCACAATTCTGAAGAATAGTTATCAACATCCTCCTTAAACTGATGAACCAAGAGTTCAAGAAAATACTTAATTTTATAGGGCTTCCAACTCAAGTTCTGTAGCCATTACTCTACTTTGAAACTGGCTGTATCTTCAAAAGGAAAATAATGTAGAAAATTGAAATAATTGCTCAGCTCGTCCAAGCTTCAATATTCTTTGCTTTAAACCATATATTTATAGGGCGTCTGAATGATTTTTGTATTACTTTCTGAATGATAAAGAGGACTATTTTTGCTCCCTTAGTCTGCATAAGATAATGAAATCAAGTAATTAAGTAAATCAAATAACATTCCTAATTCTTCCAGAAGGACGCTGATAATTGATTCAAATTTCTAGCTCACATTGAAAAGCAGACACTCTCTCATCTCTATTTAGCTCTGCTTGTGCTGCTTTTAATCCAGTTCATCACTTATAATAATTTCAACCTTCTATGCTCCTTTATCTGAGGAATCCATGCCTGTGATGTTTAAAATTTATTTCTGTATTCAACAGATACTGGTTGAACACAAACTATGTGCCAGTGCTCTGAAGTGAATCCAAAATCCTCTGTGTTCTTATTATCAGGCTGAGAGCCTAGAAGCAGGAAGATGAGCCAATACCAAGAAGCATTCTAGGTGCAAAGACAGAAGTATTCATGGGAAGAGAAGGTCGAAAGGAGACAGTGACCTTAGTGGGTAAGGGTAAAGGTAAGAAGAAGCAGGAGAGGTTTCATAAAGATGATCCTAGAGCTGTCCTCAAAAAAGGGAGGAGGAAAAGCGGAGAGGCAGAGAGGAATCTCTACCATAGAAAACAGAGGGAAGGTGAGCCACAAGAACAGCACAGATAGACTTGTATGAATTTAGACTGTTTGGGGATTTAGACCTAAGAAGCAGAATTTCTATCGGCAATCGCCAAGCAGAAGACTGAATTCAGCAGTAAAATCTGTAAGTCTTACATGATGGAGACACCGGTCACTATCATAGCTCCCCCAGCCAACCCTCCCTGCGTGACTTGTGATCTCAGTAATTTCTTCTCATAAAATAATTGAGCACTATGTACTGCTTAAATGTCATTTTAGGATTTGTTCCAATTTAAATGGAATAAAGTTGACTAAACTAAGGTCTACAGCCTTACTGAGATCAAAGTAAATATTAGTTAAATGGTGACTTTTTAATAATGATGAATTCCAGAAAGAAAGAAAAACGTTTTATCCTGAATCTTTTCCAAGAGAACTGCCAAGAAGTTCAAATTATTCTTCTGGAGACTTTGGGGGAAAGTATGAAAACTGAGAAGGAAGAATGAAAAACTAGAAATGAGAAAGGAACTAGTGTTTATGGCATTCTGATATTTTTTAGAAACAATATATATTACTGTGTTTAACTATCAGTAAAATTCTGTAAGGGAGAAAAAAACCTGTACCATTTCATTGAGGCTCAGAGTGTAAGTACTTTGCCCAATGCCACACAGCTAGGAAAGGCAAGGTTTCAAATCCAGATCTGTTTAGCTTAAAGAATATGTGATTTCTCCTTCAATCATACTGCACATTAACAGAAATAGGATTAGGGGCAGAAGGCATAATTGGAAATGTTGAGAGAAAATAAGGAGCTGAAGGGGAGAAAGAATTTATGATCATGAATTTATAATGCAGCGAGGAAAAACGTATTTAAAGAAAGAATAAAGAATGTCATTTAAAGAAATTGCATAGCACAGTGCCATGCTCTCAATAACTTGTAATTGTTGGTGATGATGAAATCAGTTCAACTTCTAACCTTTATAAGAACTCACTTCTAGACAAATTATCAAATCTGTATGTGAGAAATAAGCAAGTTCCTCAAAAAAAAAAGCAAATCCAAATCATATCACCCAATGCAGATAAAGATCAAATGTTCCCCAAAGCAGAGAACAATGGCAACACTCTAAATCTTTTTAGTTTCTTATGTATTTTATTACTCTGAGGCATAGTTTTTGGTATTTTATCTGTTTACTGCTACAGAGTTGACCTTCTGTCTCTAAAACTAAGGAAAGGATATTAAAAAATGACTCTTATCACTCTAAACTTTTTGATAATATTTTAAAATTCAATCAGTTTAAAGATTTCATTTTCCCCTTAAAGTGTCATATGAAAAGTATAAACTGAAGAAATATCAACGAAAGGTTTTTCTTGTTAGCAACGTTTCTATAAAAGTTTTCTCTCTTTTTCCAGGGGATAATTTGGCAACAAGTATGTTTTTTCTTTCAATTATATTAACACAATAATTTGATCAACTAATTATGGTATATTTAAATAAAAGAATATTATGTAGTTATTTTTAAAATGTAGAAAATCACTTACTGACAAGATGTAATGTTCAATAAATGTTAATTGAATATAAAAAACATATGATATAAAATATAAAAAAGATATAAAATATAAAATACAAAAAAATATTTTTAACATGTCATCTATTTGAAAAATATTTTACATACATACACGCACACACACACACTGCTGAAGAATACACACTGCTGAAAATATACACAGCTGTCCATGTCTACTGCTGACAGCTACACAAATGGCCCTGTTGTAACTAGAGGCTCCCTGAGCAAAGATATAGATAGAGGGAAAAAAAATCCAGATAATCCATTTGGAAAAGAGCTTAGTCTATGGTCTAACTAAATATAATTTTTCTTTGATCATCTATTAATAAACGTCTCAAATAGATCACTTAAAATCTGGACTTTCATTTCTTTAAGCTCATGTGTGTTTTTATTTTCAAGTCAAATTACTTTGTTGTTACATCAAGATTGGTTTAAGAGCTACAATTATGAATTTATAGCTTGAATAAGTCAACTAAATGAAAAATTCCTTGTGAAAAACTGCAGACACATTAATTTTATCTCCCACCAATATAGCTGAAATAACTCTTTTTTTAATGATTTCAAAAAGGCCAGCCAGCTAACTAGCTAGATACTAGAAGTATAATAAAAACACTCATAAATTTCTTAAGTAGTTGTTTAAAAGGTCCAAATGTCTGTGCTACAAGAAAACCATCCTTTTACCCTTTTAAGGTACCAGGCTTTGTGCTTAGAGTTTTACATTTACTAAGACCAAATACAGCTTTCATAAGTGCTGGGCAGGCAACTCCCTCTGCTTTCTCTCTCTATAAGGTCTTCTGGGACGAGATAGTTCCAGCGCGTGGGAATTCATAATCCATAACAATCAAAATATTTGGGCAGACACATAAAAGGGAACACTAGTATTATGCTATCATAAAGAGAGATGAATACAATCATTCCAACCATTCAAAAGCAACATAAAAAACTGAGCAAAACCAGTACCTGAAAAGAAATAGCACCGGAAGTCTTTGTGCATGGGGAGGAAGGAGTACTGGAAAAGTTCTGATATAGTAGCGCCACTCAAAATATGGCCACACTGGTAAAACCTATGGGCTCGTTAGAAATGCAGATTCATGGGCCCAGTGCCACCCACTGAATCAGAAAACCTGGGAATGGGCCCGGCAACCTAAGAAACCCTCCAGATTGGTTCTGATGCCTGCTGCAGTATGAGGGCCACTGAGATGGAGGGACTTCCTCACCAGACCCAGCCTCTACTCAGATGCAGCAGAGGAGAGGGAATTGCTGACTGTATTTCTTCTAAAATAGGATTCTTTTCAGGAATGGAAAGAGGTGGGGGAGGGAATGTTATTATTAGCGACATATGGCTCTGAGGCAGCAGTGTCCAGCAGCACTGTAAGATCACGA